AGGAAACTTTGTATGTAAACTTTGAAGACGTTTATAACTCTATACAAGTCAGGAATAAATGTAGTATAGTCGTGGTTAATGTGAGAACACGCTGCGATAGCATGTGAGCAAGGCAGATGAAAAGTTTGAAATCTCCCACAGTCACAAGTTCGTGTTTGGAGGTTGACGTTGAAATGGGTAAGTGGCCGACAATTCCTATTATTAACCGTCTCTTGAACCACGAAATAGTGACTTTCACGGCCAAAAGCCAAGACATTATAACTGTGAGATTTTTCTACTTCTTTTGCAATTCCTTTCATGCAGTTATCTGTGAACTCCTTTCCCGATGACAAATTTTTTGTCCAATCCTTTCCTCGCTTACCCCACAATGTTCTCATCCTGTAGTATGTTGATCTTACAAGTGATGTAATAGGTAGGTTTCGGGTTTCCTTCAATACCGAGTTCAAAGATTCAGCTAGGTTGGTTGTCATGTGACCCCATCGTGCTCCTCCGTCATAAGCTCGCGACCATTTTTCTCTTGGAAGGTTCTCTATCCAATTAAAAGCCTCTGTGTTTGTTTGGCGAATCTTCTCCCGATAATATGCGTATGTAGACTCATTAATTGCATACCTGCATAAAAGCATTAAAACATTAATATAAAAGAACTATATATTGAAATGCCGTGTTAAAAATTAGAGAGTAATTACCCATGTTAACAACTGTCTTGCGAAGGTTTTTGTCCTTGATGGCTCGCATGAAGTTTTATGCGATGTGCCTAATGCAATACACATGCACCGAGGGTGGGTTCTGCCAGCCATTATCCGGGTTATTGTAGGCACTCTTAATGGACTCATGTCGATCAGATATCAAACATAAGTCTGATTGGGGTGTGACGTGAAGTCTCAAATTTTTTAAAAGAAACTCCAAGCCCCCGGTCTCACCTTCGACCAATGCATATGCGATTTGGAAAATGTTACCATTCCCATCTTGTGCAACAGCCAGGAGCAATGTTCCCCTATATTTTCAATACAGCCATGTACCATCTACCTGCACTATAGGTTTACAATGTGCGAAACCCCTAATATAAGGTTGAAATACCCAAAAAAGGCGATGGAAAATTCTTGCACCACCAATTTGTGTTCCTTCATTTGAATATACAGGAAGTGTTTCAAGATCTATGACGGTACCTGGGAGAAATTGTTGCATGACTAGCAACACTGCGGAAGGTTGTTGTAAGAGGCCTCCCAATTGCCATAAATATCTTTGATTGCTTTGGTCTTTGCAATCCATGCTTTTTTGTAAGACACGGTGTAGCCATAATTCGTACGAATATGAGCAATAATATGTCTAACCTTGATTGCCGCATCACTGTCAACCAGAGGTCTGATGTTATGGGCGATCATCTTTGAGGTAAGCTTTTGGTGATCTTGAGATATAGCAGTCGACATGCAAGTGTGTGACCCTCCAATTCTGCCAATAACCCATTTACCACACCCCTGTCTAATGTTATGGACGATCATCTTTGAGGTAAGCTTTTGGTGATCTTCAGATATAGCAGTCGACATGCAAGTGTGTGGCCCTCCAATTCTGCCAATAACCCATTTACCACACCCCTCCCTTAACGAAGCCCTACATGTGAAGTTGCATCCCTCCTTTTTACATAGATATTGCATGGAGACATGCTTCTTTGTTTTCAAACGTCATACCAACCTTTAAGTCATCACGTGACTCACGTTCGTGTAAGGGTTCAAAGACTGAAATTGGTTCCACACATTCAAATGAAACATTTCTTAAGTGATATGGTGGGTTGTATAGATCAAGTATAGGAGCCAGTTCTGCCTCCAGTCTGTCATCGTCACCTGACTCGTCACTGGACCCACTAAACAAATTAATTTGTCTGGCATCGTCAGAGTCAGTATCATCACCCACTTCCTCTTCCTCTTCTTGTTGGGAGACCTGACTTTGTTGATATGCATGAGTTTGTGATGATTGTGTTGGAAATACTTCATGCGTTTGTTGAAAACAAATATACAACTCCATTGTTTGTTGACTGCAAAACCTTGAGTGACATTGAAGCATTGAACGAACATCTTCATCGTCTTCGATTTTTGCAGTGTTGTATGTGACATTGTGATCAACTGGATTAACTATTGGAAATCGATAAAAAATAGAAGTTACATGTTGTTGTAAAGTTTCTTCTATTTTTTTCGTCAAGTGGGCTAAATCACTTTTTCGATGAATATTTAAAATATGTGTATCCGTATTTTGAAATACCACTCCAATATTTTCGTCGGTAAAAATATTACCATTGAAATGTAACAGACAAGAAATATGATTTTGTGGCATTGTGTTTGATGTAATATTCAATTGTTTGAATAAGAGACAACTATGTTTGAATAAGAGACAACATGTTGCATTGTATTTCATGCATGTATTAATAAACAAACTGCAATTTGTTGGATTTATTGTGCTGTCGCCAAGTCAAATGGCGTGAAGCCTTGGTCCGTGTACACTCACGCCAACTCAAATGGCGTGAACCCTTGTAGTCGCCATGTCAAATGGCGTGAAGACCATACTTGCGCCAAGTCAAATGGCGTGAATACCCTACTTGCGCCAACTCAAATGGCGTGAACCCTTGTTATGCGTCAATTCAAATGGCGTGAAGCCTTGCAGTCTGGCGTGAATGCATACGTGCCATGCATATAAATGCAACATTAAACGATTCTGTTTTCAGATTAAAATGACTCTGATACTTTGCTCAGTATACATTATTCTGTATAATTCACAAGTTGTTATGTTTGATTATAGAAATTCATTTTCTAATCCTTTGGTTGTACGGCTTATGGAAAGACCTAAACTCATTCACTTGAAAAATCAATTACGTCAAGTCACAAATATTAATAGGAGCATTACAGAGATAACGAAAATGGAGTCTTGATGCAGCATATTACAAAGTTAGTTACAAATATAAATGTATTTAACATGTTTGAGGATTTTCGAATTGATGTTAATATTAGGGGTTCTTTGCAAGGTTAGGAAGACCCTTGATGTCCAAGAAGTTAGGCCATTGACCTAAAAGTTCAATTTTGTCCAATGCACAATTCTTGAAATTTCCAAAATTTTCCCAACTTGGGAAAGCCATAACTTGCTCATTTTTGATCTCATGATAATGATCTTCAATTTTTTTGAAATCCCAAGATGTCTACTTCAATCCCTATTTTGATCAATTTTTCATTTGAAGACTTTATCTTGGTGTAAAAGGTCTTGGAAAAAAGTGTCTTTTGTTGACTTTTTGAAAATGACCTGTAATGTATGGGCTTATATCTTTCAAATGGTGCATGTCAGATTCAGTAGATCAGCCGATGAAGTTTTATCATTGTGTACAAAACCGTGTAATTTACAATATTCTCAATAAGTATACAAATTTATATTTATTCAACTTTCATTAAATAACTCTACTACCTACCAACTCTAATTAAATTACTCTACTACCTATCAACCATAATTAGTTAAATTATTCACCTACCAACTCTCATTTTTCCTATAAATACTCAATCACTCTCACCTCATTTTTCCACAAACACACTACATTCTATTCACTACACACTCTCTACTCTCTTTTGTTAAGTCTTCAATCAGTTCTTCATTTTCACAATTATGGCCAATATGTTTTGGTATGGTACACAACATAGGGAACTGTAGAAAATATCAATGTTGTAAGTATTTTTGATTTATTCAATATTATTCATATTATTTATTTTTGAGTTTACAATATTAGTTTTATTCATAATTTGCATAGAAATGTTGAATATTTTTCTATATTACTTATTTCTATTACAGATTGATGATACTTATATTTCAAAATGGAGAATTCGTGCTCACAAACCTCTAAAGCCACATGCAGTCATAATCCCTTACCTTCACCAATCTGGTTTCTACCATGTATCTACAATAGGTCCACACACATCAATTCAATGTTAATTATAGCCTTACTGGAACGGTGGAGACCCGAAACTCATACATTTCATCTTTCAAACGGTGCACAATTACATTGAAAGATGTGAGTATGTTATTGGGGCTTCCTGTAGATGGTAAAACGGTAAATGGTCCATCCGAGCTAGGTGGTGGTGCATGGAGTTCTATTTTAGGGGATGAACCACCACAAAGTGACAAGGGAATGACTGCGAGGTTGACATGGTTTAAAGACATGTACCAACATGAACCACCAACCGAGGAGTATAAAATTAAATATGCTCGTATTTATATCTTACTCCTTGTCGGGCAAGTTTTATTTCCTAACAAAAGCGGTAATACTATACACTCAAAATGGACACAATTTGTTGTGGATTTGGAAGATTGTAGAAAATTGAGTTGGGGTTCCGCCGTTTTAGCCAATCTATATAGGAAAATGTGCAAGTCTGTAGACATAAAAGTAACAGAGATGTCAGGATGTGTTTTACTTCTTCAAGCTTGGGCTTTTACACGCATGCCTATAATATCTCCGGTGGCTCCGCTTCAAACTCCATATCCTTACGCAAGAAGGTAATATTTTAATTTAAATTTAAAATTATAATTAAATTTGTTAGGATACTTTAAAATAAAATTTAATTTTAAATTTTTTTAGGTGGTGCATCAAGAAACTTGACTACCAAAACAACCTGCGCCACCATCTACAAGGATATCGATTCAGAATTGATCACATGCTTCAAGATCAAGGTTTTTTTCTTCACTTTAATACTTCTTATAAATTTTTGAATTTTATTTTGGTTAAACTAAAAAGTTTATTTTTGAATTTTATTTTGGTTAAACTAAAAAGTTTTATCTATAACTTTTCAGTTTATTTGGAGGACCTATCTTGCATTAGTGCCTCAAAAGCACGAGGACAGTTTAATATGGAGTTAAACTACGTATATAATATATTTTCATATTGTAGAAATGCATCAAGCAGATAGGGTCAAACTACAATTTGGCCATTTACAAGGATACCTGAAGAACCTCGATGCCTGGCTGAACACCCTAAGATGACAACAATAAAAGCGCGCCAAAAAGCGCGCCAAAAAGCATATACCACATCTGATGAACATGAACAAAATTGTTGGTTGCATCGAGAATTGTTTACGTTGGATGGAGATCAATTACAAACAGAGGAGAAACCGTCAAATGAGTACATGCAATGGTATCACTCGCTTCCAAATAGATATGCATCGTACGAACAATTTCTCACTGACCCTCATCAAAATCAATATGCCCCTACTCAGGCAAGTGGCTCTCAACAACCTCACCACTCACAACATTCTCAACCTCCTCATCCCCAATCCTTCCAACAACACACTCCTCACTTTTCCCAACATCAAACACCCATCCCCATTATCCTGAACAACAAACTTCTAACCCTCATTTTTCTCAACTACAAACTCCTGCCCCTTATTTTTACCAAAATCAAACCCAATACCCACAATCTCACTCCCAACCAAATTACATTTATGAATCCCAACAATCACAAACTCATCATGCGGCCAAACTTCGATTCCTCCTCCTTCCAACATAACCCTACAACGCCTTATTTTCCAACCATGTGTCCGCCACAACAACCCCAATATAATTTTGGCGAGAATCTTAACGTCAGTGATTATGATTTACTGGAAAACATTTGGTCTCCTCCACAAGCTACCGCTCCTAGTCAAGAAAATTCTCCAATATCAGATGCAACACAACAAAATCCTCCAACAACAGAGACCGAACAACAATATGGTTTTGGTCATCGTGCTCCGCGACCGCGTTATTTTTTTATTTAGCATTTTGATTGTAATTGTGATATTTTATTATTTAGAGAACATATTTCTTTCTCTTCTCTTCATGCTCTCTTTAGAGAACCAAAAATCTTTAATTTCGGAGAAACTTTATCAATCTCCATCTCCAGTCATTGCAAAGTGAAGGTATCTTCTTTGATTTACCGACTTTATGTTGATTTAACGCTCTTTTCTTGATTTACTGATTTTTTTGTTGATTTTTAGCTCTATTGGAAACATTTTCTGCATATTGCTTATTTGCCTATGCATCTTGAATAGAGAATGACATAATAGCTTATTTATTCATCTCTTTGAATTTTATGTTGCTCTATTCCATTTTGGTATGCACACCATATGTTTGATAATATGTTCAGAGAACTTTCACCAACATTAACATAACTAGGCTGCAAAAATTATGCTAATGTGGCCTGTGAGGTGTTAGCAATTGAAAAAGACTTTGGAAGAGCCAGAGTATACAATCAGTTCAGGAACCCCGTTTAGTTCAACAGGCTATTGATAGTTGGAGGCTATTGATAGTTGGTAGGAGTTTCATGTGTTTTCTTTGCATTTTCGTTACAGGAACAAGAGAAGAATGAGTTAGGGCATGAACTCAAAAGGTGAAAAAGAGAGATTAAGAAGTGTGACTATTTTCATTGAGTTTTATGTGTATTTGTTTTGTAGAATTTTCAGGAGTTTTTAATGGGCTTTATGTCTATTTGTTTTGTATAATTTTCTTGATATAAGGATTTACCTGATTTTGTTGATGTTATGAGAGAACTTTCATGATCTAATGGATTTTATGTGTATTTGTTTTGTAGATCTTTCATGATCTAAGGCACAACAGTAATGGAATAGGTTATAGATGCATTTATGTGTATTTCAAATGTATGACCTTCAGATTTTCAAACATAATTTCCTCTTCAGTCTTTCCTATTAAGTGTTTCTTATTTCATGCTTAAGCTGTTCTAAGTTAGAATATCAATTAAAGCATAGAAGTACAAGTAAATTTTCAACTTCAGAATCATACACATTTTATCTTGCTGATTGAAATGCAGCCACTTAATGTGTCACAAGTTTGCAAGGTTGCTCCAATTCCTGGTGTTGTCTAACACAATAAGGACACTAAAACAATTGTTATGTTGAAGGGCGTGGTAGGTTTTCTCCTGTTGACTTTGATGGTAACATGGCAACAGATCTGACATGAGTTAATGGCATGGGGATTCTTGAACTTGGTATGTGCATATCTGTTATGGTCTGCTAATAGTATCGATGATGCTTTGGTGTATGAGTATGTTGGACATTTCAGTTTTTGAATGATGAATCATGATGATGAGCATGGCGTTTGCTGCCTACTTTAATAATATGCTTGTAGGTTAGTAAGCTTGGTTCCTGGTGGTATGAATCTGGTTGAACACAGGTATGTATTGCATTGGGTCTGTTTTGATCTTTTTTGTCATACTTAAGGCTTGAATTGTGTTGCAAGACTTATATGGTTTACAGAAGGTTGTATGTTGATGCAGGTTAGCATGACTATTATGCACAAGCTCCTGTCGTACATGCTATGCACATCAAAGTCCTACTGCAAAAGCTCCTTCTCTAATGAGTAATTTATAGTCATGCTTACTAACAGTAGAAGCTCTTGTAGAATTCAATTTGCATGTGATAGAGCTTTATACCCTGTTTGCCTTTCTAGAGTTTATATGTAGCATGATAAGCTTTATATCCTGATAGAGCTTCTTCTTTCACTCTCTCATAAGCTGTTTTGTGTATTTTAGGAATAAGTTGTTTTGTGTTTTTACTCTTATATGAATAAGTTGTCTTAAGCACATACCTCACAGGTTCCTTGATTAAATTGTTTGTTCAAACACAGGTTCAGGTTTGGTTATTGAAGCCAATTCCCCTCTCTGAGTTTATATTAGTATGTAATTTTTTTCCTTTTGAAGATTGACAAGAGGCTGCTATATTTGAAGGAATTCATCATATCTGATAAGAGAAAAGCAGGTATTAAGGATTGTGTTTCAATCACTATTTTTACTGTAATGTTCCTTTGCTAGGTATTATTTTGTTTTCATAAAACCCACTTAATTCTATAAAATTATGGTTCTTATTTTGTAGCACCCTTATCAAAGGAGTTGTTAGAACAAAAAATGTAAAACATAACCACATGACGTCTCAAGATAAAAGGCCTATACTACTTCTCCTAGGCGGATCGATCATATGTTGGTTGGCTTTTGTATCTGCTAGACAGAGAAAAACAACTACGGTTTAAAATCAATTTATGATTATAAAACTATTTATTTTTCTTACTTTTGTGTCCTCCACATGTTTCTATGATATAATGTTTCTGTTGCAGTCTTATTATTGTCTTGATATTGGGCAGCATATCTATACATATACTCATCTCATGCGCTACGTCAATTATGCTGAGCGATATCAACTGAGCGTGTTGTTCTTATCAGGCCCGCAATTTCCCATCAATTTTTTGAAAGTTTTCTTACATTTTAGACATGTAATATTGTAAATATGCCTCATAAATATGTGTCAAATGATTTTGTTCAATGCTTTATTAAGTTTCAATGTGGTTATTGTACTGTTGGAGTCGAAGACTGTGAAAAGTTCTTGGAAATTTGGATCTCTCGCACTCACTATATATTTCTTTCAGATGATGGTTCTTAACAAAAATGAACCAGCATGTACATTACTGGCAAATTCAAAAACCTTCTCTTCCTGTAAAGATTCAGCAGGAAAACGTTATTGGAAGTCTGAGTTTAGTCTACAGTTTGATGTGATGAACTGGTTTGAAAGTATATCTATCTGCCTATAGTGTGATTCTACTCTGCTGTACTCATGCAGCTTTGTCCTATACTCTATACATTATCTTTGTTCTTGAGATTATTTTCTGCACTACCTGCTATTTCCATGTTGGATTTTTGTGTGCTCGGTACATTATCCTCATTTGTAACACTGATTTCTTTTGCCATTTAACACGTGCTACTATTAATATGTACATAGTCCTTATTTGTAGCACTGATTTCTTCTGCCATTTTTTTGTGTAGTGCCTTCACTCACATGGACAGTTTCAGCTTCATCGGGTAGCTTTGTCATTTGGATTGGTGTAATCACTATCATCTTTCTTGGTAATATTATCTTCACTGTTTTTCTGCTTAACAATAATCTCCATAGGCCCTAATGTAGATTTGATATTCTTGATAATGAAGGTCAAAGATCTAACATCTGGAGCCCTTGATAAAGTGCTGCTTGGTGATGCTTGTCATAAGAAACTTAAAGTTTGAATATTGATTGTCACAGATGGGATGGCTGTCATGATTGTCCTTGATGTTTATGTTTTGCATTCTTGATTGTCCTTGACTTATATGGTTTCACATTCATGCCTTACACACAGAGCTCTTGAAGGTAATCATTCTCAAACACACTACTTTTGTTTTACGTAGGAAACCTTTCGCTCGCATTATTTCGTAATTGCTTTTTGTTTCTAATAAGGTTTTCAGCAGTTTTCAGTTTGATTAGGGGGTGCTTCAATTTCAGTCTGCTTCCTGGTTTTTCGGCCGCATTTATGCATCTGATTAGGGGTGTACATGGATCAATAACCAAACCAAATTGAATCATATATATGATTTAGTTTGGATCTTAAAACTACTTCATTAAAAGCGGTTTATATTTCTATAATCGGTTTATATGTGGATCGGTTCGGTTTTGAACCAATTTCTCACAAAAACCAGTTTTTAAAAAAAACCAATTTTAAACTGATTTTTCTAAAAACCAGTTTTTAATTTTCTTTAAAAAATCAATTTCAAAACCAGTTTTATAAAAAACCAGTTTCAAAATCAATTTTATAAAAAAATCAGTTTTAAAACCAATTTAAAAAAATAAAGTTTTATATCAAAAATAGTTTTTTTATTTTTAAAAGTTCTAAAATTATTTTATGTTAAAAACACTAATTTAAAATAAAAAATTGGTCATTTCTCAAAATTTATGGTCATTGACAATTTTAAAACATATGATATGTGATTTTACCTTAAGATATAGTAAAGTAATTTCTCAAAATTATGGTAGCAGAGCCACAATTCATTATTTGACACAAGTGAAATAGTTGGTTAATTCTTTGATACAATGCTTGTTGATTATATAGGGAATGTGCAACATCTTTCTATAATTCACAAAACTAACAAGATTTAAAATCTTAAAGTTACATTGTAAATTTATAGGAGTATCAAGAGCCAGATTCTCAAGATTGTCTTTAGCAACACAATTTTCTGGAAGACATTTCATTCCTATACTTCCATCAGGATTCTCCCCTCTGATGACAAAAACCCAACTGTCTGAACACTTCCATCAAGTCTGCAACAGAGCCACAATTCATTATTTGACACAAGTGAAATAGTTGGTGAATTCTTTGACACAAGTGAAATTGTAGCTCAAGAGTGGAAAGAAAATGCATATATAAAACTTTAGAATTCTTTACCGTTAAGTCCTCTTCGAGCGCAACAGATGTTGAAGAGGTTGAACAACTAGCACCATCTTTTGTATAAAGTAATTCTACAAAATATATAAATACATTTCATTATGCCTCAAGTATAATAAATAATAATACATTAGCGAATATACTTAGTTATCATACCTTGCTCCAATCTCCCAAGAATATCAAAATCTTTATTTGTAATCAATGATGAAGATGTTCCTTTGAGCCAATCCTGGGTGCATATCAGTGCCTCGACAGTTGTTGGTGTTAATGAGCTGCGATATGAATCAAACACCCTTTCTCCTGTGCTAAATGCATATTCAGACGCCACTGTGCTTATTGGTATAGCAAGCATGTCTCTTGCAATGTTTGCAAGAATGGGACAACGACCAGAATTTACTTTCCACCACTCGAGAACATTTATCTCCATGTTATACTCTAACTTCTCTCCAAGATAAGTGGTTAACTCATTATCTGCATTGTCACACCCTTCTGAAAGATAAAACTTAGCAGTTCCGTATGGATG